TCGTCGTCGTCGGTGTCGTGGTCGTGGTCGTTGTTTGCAGCCGTTGCCATCGTCGCTGTTTTGGACGATGCTGTCGCTGTTGATTGCGGGTTTGATATTGATGTTGTTGGTGGCGATGATGGTGATGCTGCTGCTGAAGATGATGATGGTGGTGGTGATGATGATGATGGTGATGACGACATTGATGATGATGATGATAATGGTGATGAAGGTGGTGGTGATGATGATGCTGCTGATGCTGATGATGGTGACGACGACTATGTAGGCGCTGTTCTTCTTCTGTTGATTGCTCCTGTCTTGTTCTCCTTATTTTATGTCGTGCCGTCTCCTCAGCGAAAATGAGGCAGCACACTCGCAACCCACGTGGAGGCCCTTTTGACTTAGTAANNAGTCAAAAGGGCCTCCAAGTACAGAACCCTAAACCCTAACGCCCCCAAAAGACTCCGGACATCCCCTAAACCCTAAACCCTAAACCGGACATCTGTTTAAAGTTTACCTACTGGGCTCCTAAGCAACCCACAACACGATTTCGCTGCCTTGCCAGACAAAGGCCATCCGCCTTCAGAAGCTCCTTGCGAAGCCTGCCAGCCTCAAAGCGCGACAGCATGTGGGGGTTTCCGAAAATAGGGGACCCTAATATAGTACCCTAAATAATAGGATCCCTATTATAAGGACCCCAAAATAAGGTACCCCTTATTTTGGGAAAGTCCCATGTATTGTGCAGGGTTTCATTAAGGTTCAGAGTTCTTCGATTCCAGAGACTCCAATATCCCTTAATTAAGGAATATACCGTAAATCATATTAAGGATCCTACTATAATTTAAGGTATATTCCTTAATTAAGGGATATTGGAGTCTCTGGGATTCTGCTATCAGCCCAGACCCTCCGCTGTCTGGTGGCCTGAGCAATCCATCACCCGTGTAAGGCCGGGACCATCTCCCCCAAGCCACACAAAACCGAGTTCTGCTGCGTGACTGGCGCCCACAGTGCCGGCCTGGAAATCGCGCATTTCAGTGACAACTCAATAGTTTTGCCTTCTTCTGTTGCATCTGCTGACACCAGCGTGACTGTCCGTCACACATCTAGGAGGTTCACTGGCATTCACTTCTTAGTTAGTTCGTGCACTTCCTACGCAAGCTCATGTGCAAGCCAAGCGCGCGGCCTCACCGAAAATCCCTGCCCAGCTGGGTGCACGTGCCCTTGGTGTTTGGCAAAACTCGTAGAGAAACGTCTCCTGCCAGAACGCAACTCATGATTCAATAGAACTCTAGCGGCTCGCCACGAAAAGTCATCAATATGCGATGCCATGTTCTAATGTTCCAGTGCATTGAAGCATTGCACAAAGCTCCATGCAAAGCAAACCCTTGTGGCTCCTTGCTGCTCATCTTGGCAAGTTGATGAGCAGCGCGGAGGGAAGGACAGGCGATGGCATAGTCTCCGTACACTTTTGTCGCCGTCCAGTACCAATCGGTGGATGAAGTGTTGCTCGCATCTGCATACACAGAAAGGACATCATCGATCTTGTCGTTGCTGATGTTGAACATATCCGTAGTCAGGAGAAGTTCGAAATCTGCTTTGGTCATGTTGGAACCTGGCAGAGGTGCGGCACGTTTACGGAACATTCCTTAACTCATATATGCTATGGATCCGGCATACTGCGGGTTTATTCCCTAGTTTACTCCCAAGATACTCTGCAACAAGAGCGGCTCACGAGACAGCGCACAACAATACGGCCAGTTCTCTGACCCTGTCCGCTGTTGGACCACCAAACCGTACATCCCTCCCTAAACCCTGAACTCTAAATACCCCAAATCCTCAACAAAAACAACCCTGAACTCCAAACACCCTAAATCCTCAACAAAACCCTGGCCCTGACCCAAACTTAGCTGCCGAGTACCCTGGCCCAAAAAAGTTTAAACTTTTCTTTTGGTAGGGGTTTAATATACCAAAAAAGTTTAAAGTTTACCTATTGGGCTCCTAGGCAAAAACCCTCAAGGAGAACCCTCGCTTCGAACACCCCCTCGCCCGGAGCGGCCTTTATGCAGTAGCTCGCACTTCGGAGTGCCCTCACAGCTTGCAAGGACCGTCCCTTCGTCCTGGTTGAAGCCCAGCATAACCTTGGCTGACTTCCCAGACCCCCAAAAGGATCTAAAAAAATAGATCCCCTCAAAGGGTTCCTATAAAGTACCCTTTAGTAGCCAGGGTCCCTAATTAGGGGATCTAATTTTTAGATCCTTTTGGGGGGCTGACTTCTGAGCCCCTCCTAAGAGTTAAACGTCTAGCCCACTTCTGATAGTTCATGTAGAAAGCCCCTGACTAAACCCCTAAACTCTAAACCCTAAACTGATAGTTCATGTAGAAAGCCCCTGGCTAAACACCTAAACCCTGAACCCTAAACTGATAGTTCAGGCGTCTCGGCTGCAAGCTGT